AAGTCATATACTGTATATGGATTTAATATGATATCAGAATGATCCAGGTGTCAAAATGTAGCTTTTAAAGCCAATAATCTGAAAACGTAATTAGGTCATTTTGACCAAATTTGACTTAATCCTCATTTCGATGTGATGGGTCACGTATATCAAGGAAGCATAAAGGACATGAATGTACTCACCACTGCCATGTCATCATATGATCGGATGAAAGCCAAACGATCTATTAAAAAACAAAAAACAGTAAGCACTGTGTAAATCAATACATAAAAATGTTAAGAGCTTAAAAAATAGGTTAACAGTTTATGTTTTTGCTTTTTAAACATTTAAGTAGAATAACTTTAAAAGTATTGTAATGGCGTGGAAACTTTTGTGGAATATGTATGTTCTATATAAACATACACAGCTGAGTTATGCACTAAAGATGTACAGTATGTATGTATGTATGCATATATGCATGCACCCAGGCATGTACCCATGCATGTATTCATGCACCCATGCATGTATGCATGCATGCATGCATGCATACATGCATCCATGTATGCATGCATCCATGCATGTATACATACATCCACGCATGTATACATGCATCCATGGATGTATAATGCACCCATGCATGTACCCATGCATGTATGCATGTACCCATGGATGTATAATGTACCCATGCATGTACCCATGCATGCATGTATGTATACATGCATCCATGTATGTATGTATGCATGCATCCATGGATGTATAATGCACCCATGCATGTACCCAGGCATGTACCCATGCATGTATGCATGTATGCATGCATGTATGGATGGATGTATAATGCACCCATGCATGTACCCAGGCATGTACCCATCCATGCATGCATGCATGCATCCATGGATGTATAACACACCCATGCATGTACCCAGGCATGTATGCATGTACCCATGCATGCATGTACCCATACATGCATGCACCCATGCATGTACCCAGGCATGTATGCATGTACCCATGCATGCATGTACCCATACATGCATGCACCCATGCATGTACCCAGGCATGTATGCATGTACCCATACATGCATGCACCCATGCATGTATGCATGTATGCATGCATCCATGGATGTATAATGCACCCATGCATGTACCCAGGCATGTACCCATGCATGCAAGCATCCATGCATGTATGCATGCATCCATGGATGTATAATGCACCCATGCATGTACCCAGGCATGTACCCATGCATGCAAGCATCCATGCATGTATGCATGCATCCATGGATGTATAATGCACCCATGCATGTACCCATGCATGTATGCATGTACCCATGGATGTATAATGTACCCATGCATGTACCCATGCATGCATGTATGTATACATGCATCCATGTATGTATGTATGCATGCATCCATGGATGTATAATGCACCCATGCATGTACCCATGCATGCATGTATGTATACATGCATCCATGTATGTATGT